GCAGCTGCACTGGCAGCAGCAGAAGCAGCTGCTCGAGAAGCGGCCCTGGTAGCAGAAGCAGCAAGGATGGATTTTGAGTACCCGTGGCTTACAAGGAAAGAACGGGCCACAGTTCCCGTGGGGAGTGAGGATGGTAGTAGTGATAGCAATGAGGACTACGGCTCTAGTGACTCTGACTAGGTCCTTAGCTACTGCCTAGGTTGGTTGATAGAATGAGTATAATTGCAGGTAGTGTTCTTGTAGGCTGACTTGTTTTTTTTTTTTCGTCTAGTTTATCAGACTAGGAAAAATATTTCAGCTTATACTGCAGACCACAAAAATTTCGTCGTCAAAGCCTAAGACCGGGAAAATGTTTTTCAGGGTACTGTCAGACAGGCCCTAAACCTAGCGAGAACCCTAGTGTAGTGGTGCTAACCAGATGAAATCAGTTCCTATGGCTAGGTAATAGGACGATGATGAGAACTGTGTGGAGAAATAGTGGAAAAAATAGCATCCAGATGTTGGCGCGGTGACATGTTGCGCAAAGGCACATCCACACGCACATTCAGGCCATCAAACGCACAAACATGCGCCACCAGCTGTGTAGTAGTGCAAACGAGATGAAATCAGATCCTATGGCTAGATAATAGGATGATGAGGATAACAGTGTGAATAAATTGTGGAGAAAATAGCAACCAGCCGTTGGCGCAGTGACATGTTGCGCGCCGGCCTATCCTCGCACAGATTCGGGCCAGCAAACGCACAAACATGCGCCACGAGCTGTGTAGTTGTGCAAACGAGATGAAATCAGATCCTATGGCTATGTATAGGATGATGAGGATAACAGTGTGAAGAAATAGTGGAAACAATAGCATCTAGACGTTAGCGCAGTGACATGTTGCGCGCTGGCCTATCCACGCACAGATTCGGGCCAGCAAACGCACAAACATGCTCCATGAGCTGTGTAGTTGTGCTAACGAGATGGAATAACATCCTATGGCTAGGTAATAGGGTGATGATGAGAAGTGTGTGAAGAAATAGTGGAACATCAAGCGACGACATGTTTGTATAACGATGAGCATGCTGGACAAGTTTGGTGTCATTCACAGCGTCTAGCATTACATCACCATGCGAAACGGTTCACCAGCCACATATCTACTGTCCTATCTAACTGAATCAGATGCACAGCCCGCTTGATGCTATGTATCTCAATCACTTGATACCTAGCTGCAAGTGGGGGCCATTTCAGGCGCTTGCACTTGGTGTCGCTATCTAATGCGGGTTGCACGTCATAGTACTTGATATATGCGTACTCCTTTATCTGCCCATCCACCTTGCAGTGAAACAGCAGTAGGACCTTTGCATACCACTCCTCGTGGCCGGCCTCTGTCTCACCCTTCACGGCCACGTCTGAATACCATGGCCGCCCATGGTGTCTCGGCAGGGCACGCACTCGATGAGGCAATCGGCTGTACTATGCGTCGACCGCCGATGGCATGGCCATTTCCCAATGCACCTGACACGAAGACACAGTACACATTGTACGTATCACAACCATTCACATCTAGGGACTGAAGGGACATGGTGATTCGTCACTAGTAGAACTGATGAACATAACACACCTGTATGCTCGCGATGTCCTCCCCCTTGTTGTTGCACCCAGGGGCTGCGTTCAGCGCCGTCCGCAGGTGTTTTAGATCAGTCCCAATTTCCTTCTCGAGCATCGCATCACGATTCGCCTGTGGCGCATTTGGGATGCAGAAAGGTGCCGCCTCCCTGCCGCGGGGAACGTGGAGGAGCCAAGATCGACGCGAGAGCACTCGCACGCCCGTCCTTTGTGCCTGCGGGAGAAATGGGAATACTACCACCACGTTAAACCGTGTTAACGAACGATGATGCAAATGACACGACAAAATAGCCACCTGACACGCACCTTGATCATCGCTGTGTCGTACGCCTTCTTCGCGCGAAGCATGGGTGCGATTGCTTGCAATCGCAAGCGCTGCTCCTCGCTCTGTACAACCTGTGCGTTCACTGTGCGCTTGTTAGATGCGCGATATGGTGTTTTGATGAACTCTATGTGCAAGTGCTCGTAGAGCTGGGCGGAGTAGTGCTCTGGCAATCCTGCACGACGGATCGAATCTATGAAGTGGCTAATCAGGTGCATTTTGATGAAGTTCCAATCTGATGCCTGCTTGAAATGCGTCGTCAGGCCGTGTATCATCCTGCACAAGAAAGAGTGGATGATTCAGATTTGGCACGGAGGGTGAATGATAAAGACGTGTCAAGCATTGCAACGAACACCACTCACCGGTGCGCCTTGGTCTTCAAGTCGAGCAGACTTTTCTCTGTGTGCTCGCCCGCTCGTGCACACTCCAAATACCATTCGACGTATGAAACGCACGCCTGCATCTGATCGTCGGTAATGAACCCTTTCGCTATGAAAGGTATAACTTGCATCACTGAACGATGCTCGTAGGCTTGGTAGTTTGCCCCCTTTGCAAAATATTCTCCCGACGGCAACCTCATGCATCCCGCCCTCAATGACTTTCTAATATATTTTAACCGCTGATCTAGCACCTTCATCTTTGCAGGAAAGAACTCCTTAATGTGCGCGCGTATACTATCAACTATGTGCTAAAAAATGCCCAGGTCAGCCTGGTGCATGATATCGGGCAGCACGGCAAGGTAGGGGTTTAGCAAACTCTCCGCCTCCCATCGCCATCCCCATAGGTAGCTCTGCATGAGGCAATATCAGGATAGTTAGGCATCGATCATCATACAAATGGGCAAAAACCAAGAGTATACCATACCTGTACAGGGTGGGTTGATAGTGACTCATCGGAGTCGTCCTTGATGGTCTGTGTAGCAACCAGGTTGACAACGGCACGTTGCTCCGATGGCGTGCGTGCGTCGATGCGGTCGGCGAGCTGCGACAACTTCTTCTTTGGCACATAGCATAGCGAGCAAGGAAACGCCGTCGTACCCGACTTTGTGCATGCTACTTTGCACGACTCGAGGTAATCTGTAACATGTGCATACATGGATGGCCAAACGTTCATAACCTTGCCCTCCGCATCCACCATATTTACACCTGTATGGGATGCACGCTTCAACCCCGCCATCACCTCATTCATAATATAATGAAACACCTGCGCCTTATCTAGAGACTCATATTCCGGGGGGTACTCAGGGAGCAAAGCAAGCAAAACATGCCCATAAGGCTTCCACCTGTCCTCTTTGTCAATGTTCCCAAGTGTGAGATACACAGGATGACCCTTAGCCTTTCCTCTCTGATCCATATGTGTCTCGTCACTTGCTAGAATGAGTGCGGCCACCACACCCTCCGGGTTGATTTCTCGTATCTTCTCTTGGAGTTTCTCCCACCACAAAGCCGTTTCTGGAGTAGAGTATTTCCGCGTTTCCCCGTCCATAACGACTCTTGATTCCATGCTCATCTTGGAAGCCAGTTTCGGGTGCTTCAGCAGGTCCTGTAACGCAACAAGGCCATCACAGTACCAATACTCGACCCAGGCCTTGTTTCCCGCGCGGACGGTCTTGCGTCTCCAACCTCGATGCTTATCGGGCGCACGTGATTCAAGGTATTGTTGGACATCCCGCGCCGACTTCCATCCAACCATCTGCGAGAGTTGAAATGCTTAATGGAAGAGAATGTCAAACAATGCCTTGATTGCCTTATGGGATATGTTGTTTGCAAACAACCAATGGGCAAGTGCGTCCTTGCCGTTGAATGGTGGTTCGGATGATGCCTCAACTTGCTCACCCTCTCCCACCACTCCGGGGTGGTCATCATTCGCAGCATAGTCATCCGCATCACAAGGCAGGCTCGCATTTTCAGCATCACTAGAACTGCACGTGGAAGATGCACTGCTGTTCGTATTATCGACTGGCGGAACATTCCCGACCGTGCATTCCATAGGTTGAGCAGAAACTGGAACATCTTGAAGCGATGTTGTGGGAGGGACAGAACTCGAAGCGACTGCGTTGGGAATGGGATTGGGGGCCATGGGTTGGTGGCGGGGCCGCTTGTGCAAGCTATGGTTGCTTGTGAAGTAGGGTTGATGCGACATGGCAATGTTGGCAGGGCAGGTTGACCCGCGCATGTGACTCTCCATGCCGGCCCGGGTCAAAAAGGAGAATCGTTTGCAGTTGGGGCAGAGGTAGTTCATCTGAAATTGGGGGGAGAAGATGGGGCAGAGAGGGCGGGGATTGGGCATAGATAAAGCGGATGGGGCTGAGAATGTGTGGAATGGGCAGAGAAATAGCGGATGGGGCAGATTAAGGGAGGTTTGGGCAGAAAGGGAGCGAATGGGGCAGAGAGAATGCAGAGTGTTGGTCTGAAAATGCAGAGGTCCGAGAGTGCTTGCAGATGGGGCAGAGAGAATGCTGATGGGGCAGAGTGAATGCAGGTGGGGCAGAGTGAATGCAGGTGGGGCAGAATGATTGCAGGTGGGGCAGAATGATTGCAGGTGGGGCAGAGTGATTGCAGATGGGGCAGAGTGATTGCAGGTGGGGCAGAGCGAAAGGGGTTGAGGAGGAGCGCAAGCGGGTTGGAATACCTTGACGAATATGGAGTGTACTGGACTGTCACAAGGGATGACGCCAAGTGCGGTGATGGACCAGTCGCCCCCCTGCTTGAACAACTGACAAGATAAAGAGAGAGAGAGCGCAGGGGTAAGTCAATGAGTGAGAAATAGCCCATGGTGCAGATCAAGGGAGGGGGAGCGAGAGAATGCGGCAGAGCGGGAGAGAGAATGTGGCAAAACGATAGAGCGAGAACGCGGCAGAGCGATAGAGCGAGAGTGCGGCTAGAGCAATAGGGAGAGAGAATGCCGCGGAGCGATAGAGAGATAATGCGGCATAGCGAGAGATAGATAATGCGGCAGAGCGAGAGAGCGAATGCGGCAGAGCGTGAGGGAGAATGCGGCAGAGCGAGAGAGAGAGAATGCGGCAGAGCGAGAGAGAGAATGCGGCAGAGCGAGAGAGAGAATGCGGCAGAGCTAGAGAGAGAATGCGGCAGAGCTAAAGAGAGAATGCGGCAGAGCGAGAGAGAGAGAATGCGGAAGAGCGAGAGAGAGAATGCGGCAGAGCGAGAGAGAGAATGCGGCAGAGCGAGAGAGAGAATGCGGCAGAGCGAGAGAGAGAATGCGGCAGAGAGATAGAGCGCGAACGCGGCAGAGCGAAAGAGCGAGAGTGCGGCAGAGCGATAGGGAGAGAGTGTGAGGCAGAGCGAGAGAGAGAGTGTGGCAGAGCAAGAGAGAGAGTGCGGCAGAGCGAGAGAGAGAGTGCGGCAGAGCGAGGGAGAGAGGGTGTAGGAGAGCGCTAGAGCGAGAACGCGGCAGCGCGATAGAGCAAGAGTGCGGCATAGCGACAGGGAGAGAGAACGGCGGTGCGATAGAGAGATAATGCGGCATAGCGAGAGATAGATAATGCGGCAGAGCGAGAGAGAGAATGCAGCAGAGCGATAGGGAGAGAGAGTGCGGCAGAGCGAGAGAGAAAGTGTGGCAGATCGAGTGAGAGAGTGCGGCAGAGCGAGAGAGGGAATGCGGCAGAGCGAGAGAGAGAGTGCGGCAGAGCGAGAGAGAGAGAATGCGGCAGAGCGAGAGAGAGAGAATGCGGCAGAGCGAGAGAGAGAATGCGGCAGAGCGAGAGAGAGAATGCGGCAGAGCTAGAGAGAGAATGCGGCAGAGCTAAAGAGAGAATGCGGCAGAGCGAGAGAGAGAATGCGGCAGAGCGAGAGAGAGAATGCGGCAGAGAGATAGAGCGCGAACGCGGCAGAGCGAAAGAGCGAGAGTGCGGCAGAGCGATAGGGAGAGAGTGTGCGGCAGAGCGAGAGAGAGAGAGTGTGGCAGAGCGAGAGAGAGAGTGCGGCAGAGCGAGAGAGAGAGTGCGGCAGAGCGAGGGAGAGAGGGTGCAGGAGAGCGCTAGAGCGAGAACGCGGCAGCGCGATAGAGCGAGAGTGCGGCATAGCGACAGGGAGAGAGAACGGCGGTGCGATAGAGAGATAATGTGGCATAGCCAGAGATAGATAATGCGGCAAAGTGAGAGAGAGAATGCAGCAGAGCGATAGGGAGAGAGAGTGCGGCAGAGCGAGAGAGAAAGTGTGGCAGATCGAGTGAGAGAGTGCGGCAGAGCGAGAGAGGGAATGCGGCAGAGCGAGAGAGAGAGTGCGGCAGAGCGAGAGAGAGAATGCGGCAGAGCGAGAGAGAGAGAATGCGGCAGAGCGAGAGAGAGAATGCGGCAGAGCGAGAGAGAGAATGCGGCAGAGCTAGAGAGAGAATGCGGCAGAGCTAAAGAGAGAATGCGGCAGAGCGAGAGAGAGAATGCGGCAGAGCGAGAGAGAGAATGCGGCAGAGCAAGAGAGAGAATGCGGCAGAGCGAGAGAGAGAGAATGCGGCAGAGAGATAGAGCGCGAACGCGGCAGAGCGAAAGAGCGAGAGTGCGGCAGATCGATAGGGAGAGAGTGTGCGGTAGAGCGAGAGAGAGAGTGTGGCAGAGCGAGAGAGAGAGAGTGCGGCAGAGCGAGAGAGAGAGTGCGGCAGAGCGAGGGAGAGAGGGTGCAGGAGAGCGCTAGAGCGAGAACGCGGCAGCGCGATAGAGCGAGAGTGCGGCATAGCGACAGGGAGAGAGAGCGGCGGTGCGATAGAGAGATAATGCGGCATAGCGAGAGATAGATAATGCGGCAGAGCGAGAGAGCGAATGCGGCAGAGCGTGAGGGAGAATGCGGCAGAGCGAGAGAGAGAGAATGCGGCAGAGCGAGAGAGAGAATGCGGCAGAGCGAGAGAGAGAATGCGGCAGAGCTAGAGAGAGAATGCAGCAGAGCTAAAGAGAGAATGCGGCAGAGCGAGAGAGAGAATGCGGCAGAGCGAGAGAGAGAATGCGGCAGAGCGAGAGAGAGAATGCGGCAGAGCAAGAGAGAGAATGCGGCAGAGCGAGAGAGAGAATGCGGCAGAGAGATAGAGCGCGAACGCGGCAGAGCGAAAGAGCGAGAGTGCGGCAGAGCGATAGGGAGAGAGTGTGCGGCAGAGCGAGAGAGAGTGTGGCAGAGCGAGAGAGAGAGAGTGCGGCAGAGCGAGAGAGAGAGAGTGCGGTAGAGCAAGGGAGAGAGGGTGCAGGAGAGCGCTAGAGCGAGAACACGGCAGCGCGATAGAGCGAGAGTGCGGCATAGCGACAGGGAGAGAGAACGGTGTGAGAATAAGCGAACAGGAATGAATGAACTAGAAGTGAAGTGAGTACAAGTAGTAAACCCTAGAATTATGTACCCCCTATAGGCTAACCCACTGTAGCCTACACAAGCATAACATATATAATGTTTGACACACCCCCATAGGCAAAGTGGGGGAGAACAAGGGGTCACAAGACCAGTCAAGCAAAGCAAAGCAAGCTCAGGGTGGATCACAAAGTCACCACACAGTCCGAGCACAAGAGCAGGGCCAGAGGCCAGTTCACATGCAGGAGTACAGACATATATATAAAACTAGACAAGCAAGAGCAGGTATATATATATGTCACAGTACAAGTAAAGTCAAGAGGAGAGCAAGTGAGGCAAGACAGGCACAAGACCCAGCTGGGTGCAAAAGCGCTGATGGTCACAAGGCGCGAGTGCCTTGGTGAACACATCAGCAGTGTTGGCCTCAGAGGCCACGTACGCAAGTCGCAACTGACCACGCTGCTGCAGCTCACGAGCAAGGAAGTAGCGGAGAGCAATGTGCTTCGTTCTGTGCTCCAAGCGCTGCTCTCGACACAAGGCCAGCATGGCCTTGTTGTCTACGTACAGCACTGGAGGAGAACGAGGCGGCTCTCCAAGGTCAGTCAGCAGGTAGGTGAGCCAGCAAAGCTCCTGTGCAGCCATGGCCCCGGCGTAGATCTCAGCCTCACAACTGGAGCCGAGAACTGAAGACGAGCGAGTAGACCGCCACGAGACAGAGCCGGAACCAAGGCTGAAGGTGTAACCCTGTGACGACCGCTGCGTAGCCTGGTCGTCAGCCCAAGAAGCGTCCGCGTGGCCTCTAAGGACCACTGGACTCCGCCCTCCAAGCACTAGCCCCATGCCCGACGTACTGCACAGGTAGCGCAATACCCTCTTCGCTGCAGCCATGTGCTCTGGTCGGTGTCTCCCAGGAGCAACATAGCGTGCAAGGATGCTCAGAGGGTATGCAAGGTCAGGTCGAGTGCAGGTCATCAGGTACATGAGGCAGCCAACAAGCTCTGCATACGGACCACTCGACTCTACGGACTCATCCGAAGGCATAGCTGAGAGTGAGTGGCGAGTAGGCAGAGGAGTGGCCTGAGGCGAGGAGTACGTGAAGCCGAAGCGCTGAAGGACCTGCTGCACCATGTGTGACTGAGTCAAGGTAATGGTGCAGCGTGCTCTGTCCCGAGTGATCTGCAAGCCAAGGTAGCTGCGCAGTTCACCCAGGTCTGTGCACGTGTGTCTCTTCAGCAGCTCGGACTTCACGTAGGCGAGTCCAGCAGTGTCCGCTGTGGCAAAGACCAAGTCGTAGACGTACACGAGGATGTAGAACGGCGGCAGTGAAGTGTCGGTGCGCAGAAACAGCGACGGGTCAGCAGTAGAAGGAGCAAACCCAAGAGCCGCAAGCGTAGTCCTCAGTGTGTCGTGCCACTCACGCGGTGCCTGGCGGAGACCGTAGACTGGCCGTCGGAGGCTCCACTGGGTGCCAGGAGGGAAAGTCCCAGTGAAGCCAGGTGGACGGCGCAGCCAGATCTCCTCGTGCAGGCTACCCTGCAGGAACGCAGTGCTGAAGTCGAGAGAGTGAAGCTCGTAGTCGCGCTGAGCGGCTATGTGCAGCAGCACCCGAAGAGTGGTCATCTTTGGGGTGGGAGAGAAGGTCTGAAAGTAGTCAACTCCCTGCCGCTGACTGAAGCCACGAGCAACGTACCGCGCCTTGAAGACAGGTGGAGAGCCCGGTGGCCGCTTCACCCTGAAGATCCACATGCCACTGACGATGTTCGCCCCAGGAGGGGGAACCGCGTCAACGTAGGTGCCTGTGGACTTCCAGGAAGCCATCTCTGCATCCATAGCTGCCTGCCACTGAGAGGAGTAGGGACCCTCTACGGCCTCCGCGTAGGAACGCGGAGTCGGTATGTCTAGTGCATCCGGGTCTCCCTCAGGGGCAAGCAGTACAGACGCGAGATGAGGTGAAGCAGCCGCTAGACACTGTAACTCCTCCTGCCTGTCCTCTAGGACGTTCGTGCCAAGAGCACACTCACCCCCGATGGACGGAGGACAGACAGACGCACACTCAGCAACAAGACTAGCAGCGTAGTCGAGACGACAGCGAGCAGCAAAGTCGACGAGCTCAGCGACTAGAGCAGACGCAGCAGTGGACTCAAAAGAGGGGTCAGTGACGACAGTAGCAAGGAGACGCGTGACAGTAGGACTGGCAGCACGAAGAGAGTCCGACTCAAGGTCGGCAAGCGCAGGAAGAGAGGACTCAGGAGGAGAAGGCAAAGGGGCACGCAAAGGAGCTGTGGACGGACGCAAAGACATCCGGTGCGTGCCAGGGACAGGAGGAGGACGCTGACGCGAACTGCGACCACTAGCACCAGCAGCACGAACAGGCGACGCGGGACGGGACGCAGGCTCACGACGCTCAGCAAGACCTCCAGTAGGACCAGTGTAAGGAGAGGGAGCAGGCAGTGGAGAGGACGGCTCCAACAGAGACTGCGACTAGACAGGCAATGGACCCTCTACTGGAGGAGAAAGACCAAGAACCTGCTGCAGGAGCGGAACGAAGTACGACCGAGGCCGCGCGGCAGCTCCAGACGCAGCAGGGACAGCACCAGCACCCTCAGCGACAGCACCAGCGCCACCAACACCTCCAGTGGCAGGACCAACAGCAGTAGTCTCAGCACCAACACCCTTAGCAGCTCCAGCTCCAGGAGGACCCGCAGGCCCAGCAGCTCCGGGACCGGCAGCACCAGCACCCTCGACGGTCGAAGAAGCTCCAGCTCCAGCTCCATCAGCACCCCCAGACTCAGCAGCATGCCTCCAGCGGCGAGCGAACCACTCGCGCAGCTCCTGTGGAGAGAGGGGCTCCCGGCGAGGCGCAGTAGCAGGAGAAACCCCAGGCTCAGCAGCTCCAGACGCAGCACCCCCAGGCTCAGCAGCTCCCAGCTCAGCACCCCCAGGCTCAGCAGCTCCCGACCCAGCACCCCCAGACCCAGCACCTCAAGGCACAGCACCCCTCTGCTCAGCACCCCAAGGCTCCGTACCCTCCGCAGTAGCACCCCCAGGCCCAGCACCCCCAGTAGTAGCACCCCCAGGCTTAGCACCCCCGCGCACAGCACCCCCAGAGTCAGCACCCCCAGGCTCAGCACCCGCAGCAGCACCAGAGTCACCAGTAACCTCGACCGGGTCAACGGCGTCTACCTGGGACACACCTGAGGGGGCAGGAACCTGAGGGGGGAGGGGGTCTACCGGGGGGGGGACCGGCACAAGGAAGTCCGGGGGAGGGGGGAGGGAAGGAGTGCGGTAGGGGAAGAGATGGTAGAAGGGGACTGACTCGTCGAACGTGACGTCCTGGGAGGACAGAACACGACGAGAGGAGGGGTGGTAAAACTACCACCCTGGGGCGTCAGTGGGGAAGCCAAGGAAGACACAGGGAGCAGCACGAGGGGACAGCTTGTCCGCAGACAAGTCGCGGACAAACGCCCGAGATCCCCAGACCCGGAACGCAGACGCATCGCCAACCTTCCCCGTCCACAGCAAGGCTGGGGACATCGCAAGCCTAGAGACCCGGGGGTGAAGGTTGAGCTGATGCGCCGCGTACCTCACCACAAACGGCCACAGAAAATGGGGGGCAACCGCATGCATCATGGACGTACGAGCGACATCCATGACCATGCCAATGCGGCGCTCAGCAATCCCATTTTGCTGTGGTGAGTCCGGAAGCGTGAAGGTCTGGCGGATCCCCCGTGCACGACAGTAGTCTCGCAGAAGGCGAGAGGAGAACTCTCCGCCTCTGTCCGAGTGCAGACGCAGAACAGGAAAGTCCGAGCCGAAGCTCTTCCTGAGCTGGAGACGAGCCTCGCGGATCCAGTCGATCAGCACCTCAGTGACCGCACCCTTGCTGCGCAAGGGGAGGACTGTGGTGTAACGCGAGTAGTCGTCAACCACCAACAGGAAGTAGCGCTCGTAGCCCTGCCCACGGACGGGGGCTGGGCCTCACACATCCATGTGAAGCGTCTGCAGGGGAGCCTCTGTCGGGGGGAAGTGGGAGGAGTGAGGAGTAGCCCGGAGGCGACCCTCGACACAGGGGACACAGGAAGGTCCTGGCCCGGAGGGGAGAGGAGGGAGAGACTGGGGGAGACCAGAGACAAGGACACGGGAAGCCATGCTCCGAAGACGGGGCAAGGAGGGGTGGCCAAGACGGTGGTGCCACAGGAGAGTCTCGTGAGACAGGAGACGACAGGAACAGGGGGCAGACTCAGGACCTGACCGGGACGCAGCAGCAAACACCTGACCTGACGCAGCTACCTGACCAGACGCAGGGACAGGAGGAGACGAAGTGGTCTAGGTGTAGAGACTCGACCCCGGCCGACGCGAGAAGGTGGCCAGGTGTCGGCCTGTGCGTGCGTCCGTGCAGTGGGTCACCCGCTGACTCGCAGGAGTGAACTGGTGAACCCCCGCATCCTGCAGGGCTGCACCACTCACCAAGTTCGTAGAGAACGAGGGAAGGTACAGACCCGACAGGGTGCCCGAAGGGGCAGCCGGACACGGGAGGACAGTGGAGAAGTGAGACAGGACAGGACCCCCAGAGGGGTCAGCAAGGGAGACCGCAACCGGCCGGCCAAGCGGCGTAAGGGTAGTGCGGTCTCGAAAGAAGGAGCGAGAAGCCCCTGAGTCAAGTGTGAAAGTGAGGGAGGACGAGGGCGACGCAGTACCTGAGAGCGCAGTCTCACCAGTACCTGAGAGCGCAGACGCACTGGCACCTAGAGCAGCAGCCTCACAAGCACCTAGCGCAGCAGTACCAATGCCCGGGTCGGGCGGGAAACACCGGTAACCCTCATTCTCCTCACTATAAGTCACAGCATACATAGCAGCAAGGATAGCATCAAAATCAAGATCAAAGATCGCTACACCAGTCCTAAGAAGCTCATCCCAGCGAGGGATCTCACTAGCCCCGGGGAACTGCTGACGCCAAGCGTCAGTCAGGCGGCCAAAGCAGCGCTGAGTGGAGTGGGCACCCCCACACTGCTCACCCGCGCGGTCGCCGGAACGAAGAACGTAGGTGTAGGGACCAGTACCCCCACCCCTCTGACGCCCAGCGTACCACTCACGAAGCTGCTGAGGCGGAGGGATGTCCCGCGAGCGCTGCTGCTGCTGCCGCTGCGAGCGCTGGCCACCACCACCGCCGCTACGCTGCTGGGTACCACCCCGACCAGCTCCGCCCCCTCCACCACCACCGCCTCCTCCGCTGCCACCGCCACCGCCTCCACCTCCGCCGCCTCCACCTCCGCCGCTGCCACCTCCACCA